AGTTGTTTGTAAACACCGTATATGTAAATGCCTCGTTTTTTTATATGAAGTGTGTGAATCGTAGTAAAAGAATATACAACTGGTTTATCATTTTTTCCACCACCAAAGCAGAAACAGAAGTGACTGTCCCTCCAGTGCTTTGGTAATTACTGCCAGCGATCACTGTAATTATGTTCCTTATGCCACTTAACAAATTATAAATCTGCACATGAGTGCAATTCTCCTCAATGTTATTTACAAAAACAAAGGAGGACAGCACATTATAATCAATATATTTAAAGCATATTTATAATATATAATATTTTGCCAAACAGGTATAATTAGTCAATATAAAGTGTATATATACTTGTATTGATTATAATTTGCTATTTCTTTTTTATTTATGAATTGATTTCGGTAGCACTTTACAATAAGGTTGTATTGGTTAACATTAACTACATTAGTTAACATGACTTAACAATAAAAATTAAATCTTAAACATTAATCTTAGTTAATTCCAACATTTTATTAAAATAAAAAGTTATTATTTATTATATTAAATAAATTACATTATTTAATGGAAACACACACGGCGGGCTAGAGTGAGGAACAGCCGGAGGGCTAGAGTGAGCGGAGGCAGGCCGGCTTGAGAACGGCGCGGCCGACGGATTCGACCTTCGCCTTCTTTCTTTGCGTGAACATTTGGGCGGTGTTATGCAAATCTTCCCACATAGTGAGGTAGATATGTGGGGGCGTGTTCGAACGAGCCGTTTTAGGGGGGTGTGGCTAACTCTTAACTTTTATAAAGAATATCTCTTTGGATTTGAGACTTTAGTCTTTGCAACTTTACAGATCTTCTTTATGCACCAAGAGCTTGTAACACTCTAAAGAGAAAGGAAAAAATTAAATCGCATCATATGACCCCTTTAATGCATTAACTATTGTTAACTAATGGGATCTTGTCATTTCAATAACGTATAAACTTAAATTTTGGTGATTTAAACATTTTTGGTGATTGACCTCTTTATCTATGAATCATACTGAATGGCTCTGAAGAATAAGGGTCATATTATATATACATCCAACCTGCTTGCTTTGCATTATGATCACTTTACATTAAACATAAGCCTTAATTTAATCAACGTTAGCCAATATTGACATATTTATTCAAATTAGCTAAACCAATAAGTCGTGCAGGACCAATGTACAAACTCAACAGCCTATTATAACCAGAATCCCTCAAATAAAATCTAGTCAACATCAGAGCTGTTGAAAATGTTCATTACCTCGGCAGTCGATTGTGACATTAGTGGGCACATAACAGCAGTCAGCAGACATTGAAGTGAGTTGCTGTTTTGAGATTTTAAATTTTTTTTTTTTTATGTACATCCAGTCTCATTTTGTAAGTGACCTTTCTTTCTGTTTTAAAGATGTTTTCTTTGGATTGTTTGAGTGCTCAAAAGAGAATAGAGGAAAATGTAACTTAATCAAGTTGTTTCCTGCTAGTTAAATTTCACATACATATACAAACATTATTTACTTGCTCTAAACCTCTCTTTTCTTTATTCGAAGTTAATCTAGAGAAGTACTATCTAAGCAGTCAAAACTACAACTCTAGTCTATATTCATCCTATGTGTCCTCTTAAGGTGTAAATTTACTACAAAAAAAAACATCATGGTTAGGCTACTATAGTTAAACCATGCTAACCACAAATTAACCATGGCTTTGCTACACTAACCATTATAAAACCATGGTTAATTTTCTTAAAGGTGCAGTAGGAGATCTTGGAAAATGCTAACTTTAGCCTGATAGCACTGAAAGCGAACGTCCCACCCTCCCTGCAATCGCCGTCCAAAGCCACGCCCCCTGAACGCATTTACGCTCACAGACCAGAATACCAGAGACAACATTACTACAATAGGCTACATCAGCGGTTCCCAATTCCAGCCCATGTTCCAAAGTGAAGTAAACTTCAACGGATTTCCCCCGCTCAGTGAGGAGGGAGCAATGAACACTGTGTAGGGATCATATCGATCGGAACACAGTTCATGCACGTAGCTCACTTCTAACAAGCTGGCGCGAGGATTGCTATCGGGATGTGAAGAGACTTTCAACCAGCATAACAAAAAAATTTTCTGAAGACAATCACCTATCGCACCTTTAAGGGATTTGTATCGATTCGGCGCTCAGATTCGCGATCTGCGCTCTGAAGTTCCGATCTAAATCAAATGATTCCCGATTCGAAGCTCCGATTTGAATCAAATAATTTGCGAATCCGCTGCGAAGTCCTGATCTGAATAATGATTTGCCAGCCCATTTCAGATAGGGACATCGGAGCACGTATCACGAATCTTTCGATTCGCGAAATGATTCACGAACACGCTCCGAAGTTCCTATCTGAATCAAATGATTCGCAATACGCGATCCGATTGCAGTGCTTTGAATCATTTTGCGCAATTTTTAACAGAATGGGAGTTTCGAAAAGCTCCGTTTCACCCATCAACTGCGTGTTTTGCGATCTCGAAATTCGAAAATGAATGGCTCTTTTGAACTGGTTTTTGGTAGTGAATCGCTTGAAATTAATGATCGAAGTCACGAGATTGAATTTGAATCAAGCGGAGTGGTTCCAGCGTAAATGATTCACTCAATTGAATCGGTTTGTCTATACCTCCGCCTTTTGCGCCTTCAACCATGTTTACGCGACACTGTCAGATAGGCCTATATATATATATATATATATATATATATATATATACTGTATATATATAT